GGTCGTAGACCGGACTCTGAGACCAGAATGTGTCCTCAGAGGGGTCGCAGACCAGACTCTGAGACCAGAACGTGTCCTCAGAGGGGCCGCACTAATGTTGAGGAATCGTTAACGACTCGTCTTCAGGTCAGAACCATTGATCGATCCAATGAGGTTCTGTCAACTGGACTTCAACAACAGCCGATCACACGGAGAACGTGGGTTCAGATCAGAAACAAGTTTACAGTTTTTAAAGGATAATCTCATTTCTGAGTGTTTTAATGGTTTAGAGTTCGAACGGATCAGAACGAGTCAGTGTTTGAGCGGGTCAGCGTTTGAACGATTCAATGTTTGAACGAGTCAGTGTTTGAACGAGTCAGTGTTTGAACGAGTCAGTGGTTGAACGAGTCAGTGTTTGAACGAGTCAGTGTTTGAACGGGTCAGCGTTTGAACGGGTCAGTGTTTGAATGAGTCAGTGGTTGAACGGGTCAGTGGTTGAACGGGTCAGTGGTTGAACGAGTCAGTGGTTGAACGAGTCAGTGTTTGAACGGGTCAGTGTTTGAACGGGTCAGTGTTTGAACGGGTCAGCGTTTGAACGGGTCAGCGTTTGAACGGGTCAGTGTTTGAACGAGTCAGTGGTTGAACGAGTCAGTGTTTGAACGAGTCAGTGTTTGAATGAGTCAATGTTTGAACGAGTCAATGTTTGAACGAGTCTGTGTTTGAACGAGTCAGTGTTTGAAGGGGTCAGTGTTTGAACGAGTCAGTGTTTGAACGAGTCAATGTTTGAACGAGTCAGTGTTTGAATGAGTCAGTGTTTGAATGAGTCAATGTTTGAACAAGTCAGTGTTTGAACAAGTCAGTGTTTGAACGAGTCAGTGTTTGAACGAGTCAATGTTTGAACGAGTCAGTGTTTGAACGAGTCAGTGTTTGATCGGGTCAGTGTTTGAACGAGTCAGTGTTTGATCGGGTCAGTGTTTGAACGAGTCAGTGTTTGATCGGGTCAGTAAACCTTTTTCTTCTGGCAGGTTTTTAATACCTACTTTCACTCAGGCATTTTTATATTTTTTGTATTACTGTTTGTTTTTAACCTTTGTATTGTGAAGCACTTTATACATCTTTTTGCTGTTGCAATTGGCTCTATACATAAATACTGATTGATTGATTGATTGATTGATTGATTGAGTTTTTGAACGGGTTAGTGTTAGAATGGGAGGACCCGTGCGAGGAAGATTCTTTTTGTTTCTGTAGAACTCATAAAAACATGAATAAATTAACAACAGGGGCCGTTAACTCGCACACTGTGAGGCTGCACATGCTGGGCCCTGTTTTTCCAGGACAGTGTGTGTTCTGGGAGGCTGGTGCCGGTCCTCCCTGGATTATTAATGGGTTTTTGTGTTTCTTCAGTGTTAGAGGCAGACTGACATCAGCAGTTTGTGTGCAGCGGTGCCTCGTCTTGATCTAAAATCCTTCCTTTGGACTGAGGGCAGAGTTTATACATCAGGAAAACAAACTGAGCGCACTCCGAAAAGGCTGGAATCAGAACTCTACTCAGTTTAGGAACCAGAACTGCCTACATCACAGAACTCTGGAGAACACGCTCTCCTGGGAACCTTCAGTGCAACAAAAACATAACTAGCTCCGGCCTCACTGTTTCACTGGACTGAAGAGGTTCTGTATCAGCCAGGTTCTGCTGATCAAATGCAGCCCTTCCTCACGACCTTTGACCTTTGACTTGCTAACTGATTAGCAGTTAGTCAGAGGTACTGATGGGAGTCCAGAGTCAGGGTTACTGAGCAGAATCTGTCTAGTCACTTGTTTTTTTAAAAAACAAAGTATTTTAATGATAATTTTGCTTTTTTTGATACAAAGAAAACAAGAGAATACAAAACAAAAAACCCTCTCACCCCATCCCTCCCACACTGGACCAGTCACACATACTCACATAAACTACACAGGCATTGACAAGTTTTCAACAAATGATACAAAGGGCTGCCAAGTGTCCCAGAATTGTCTTACAGAACCCTTCAGGGTGTATCTGATCTTTTCCAAATGGATGTGGTACATCACTTTCCTTACCCAATGTACATATGCTGCGGGGGGTGGGTCCTTCCAGTTGCACAAAATTAGCCTCCTGGCCAGAAGCGAGCCAAAGGCAATCACATCTCTCTTGCATTTCCTGAAGGACGTATCCACAGGGACCACCTCGAACAGTGAGATGAGTGGTGCTGGGTGAGCAGTTTTGTCACATATTCCAGAGAAGGTATCAAAGATAGGCTGCCAAAATGTCTGCAGCTTGGGACAGGTCCAGAACGTGTGCAGGAATGTAGCTAAAGTTTGTTTGCAGCGATTGCATGCTGGGTCCAGATCGGCCTTGATCCTGGACAGCTCTGGTCACTGCTGTTTGAAAAAAATCTTTCAGCTTGTTTTGTTAGTGATAATAGCACAGGTAATGATGAATGAGTGAGTTGATGATGAATGAGTGAGTTAATTATGAATGAGTTAGTTGGTGATTGTAATGAATTACGATGTGGACCTGGAAACTCAACCACAACACAGAAGTGAGCAAAAAGATTTATTGAAAACTTGTCGGGAAGGGAACTCCTGAGGGAGAACGTCAGCTGAAACTCTGCAGTGAGAAACAGGTTGGTGACTCGGATTGTTTGACTAAGAGAACATGAGTTCTGAAGCACTAATCTACAGAGTTTAATCACGGGTTGAAACGCAGAGCCTGCAATGACATCAGAGAGGAGGAAGGTTTGGAGGAACGTAGGCACAGCCAGATCACTCCAGATCACATGATATGCAAGTGTATCCTGGAAGGTCCAACAAATGCTCCTCTTCGGATCTCACAACACCTTGAGTCCAGTGAATGAGATCATGGTCAATAAACAGGCATGGGTCATTCACAGAGAGGAAGAGAAGGCAATACTTACAGGGGTTTAGCGGGAATCGGTGGTCAGAAGGCAGAACGAGAGTCGAGGTCCAGATATCCGATGGGCAGAAGTTATCCGTCATGGGCAAGACAACTGAGAGGAATCCGTGGTCATGAAGTGGGGTCAAGAACAGGAGCAAGCGAGCGCAGGAACTAGAATGCTGGATTACTTCCAGCACAAGGCAATCAGATAATCTGTCAGTGAGGCAGAGATTGAGGAGTGCTTAAGAAACACAGTGCACAGGTGCAGAGTGGGAGTGGCACAGGTGAGCTGAGTGATGCTGATGACAGTGCAGACAGAAAATACATATAAATGAGCATGACTTGACATAAAACATGAGTCATTACAGATGATGAATGAGTTAGTTGATAATGATGAATAATCATCTTTGGAGAATACCATCAGCTGTCACACACAGATATCCTCTATGAAACCAACTTCTGGTAGAAAAATGTTTTCGTAGATGGTGGAGCCTGCAGCCGTACATTACCCAGAATGCTTTGGACCAAGTTCCTCTCAGGCCCCATTTGATATTGAGTTCAGTAGATTAGGAGACAGAACTCCCCCTCACTCATTCATCCTGAGGACAAGTTCACTCCGACATACAGTTAGATATTTTTAGTTCAACTTGTTTCATGTTTTGTTCTTTTAAAGACAAGATTTACTGAATAAACATCACAGGAAAAATGTTTCAGGAAAAACTTTTTAAGACAAACATCTCAGGGCAAACGTCTGACAGGATCCAAGAAGACTGATGCACACCATGAAGCTGGCACACTTGAGTGTTTGTCTTTTAGCAAAATATCTCAGAAACCACTGGACTTACAGTAATATAGTGAGATAATATTTGGTGTGGTAGAAAATACAGAGTCATCCTTAGCCGATACTCCAAGCCCTAACCGTTCTTCCCATTGTTGACAGGTTCACTAAATCTGAACATTCTGTTCCCCTTACCAAACTACCATCCACCCTAGAGAGTGAACTCCTCTTGGTTCAACATTCACCTTCACGAGGTTCCCTCAGACATGGGCTCTGACCAGGGCCCGCATTTCATCTCCCACATCTGGAAATCCTTTTGTGAAGCCCTCAGAGCTTCAGTCAGCCTTTCCTCAGGCCTTCACCCACAGTCCAATGGGCAGACAGAAAGGTTGAACCAAAAGGTGGATCTCCCTTGGGCAGAGTGCACATATGATACCCTGACCTCCTTTGTAATAGTTTATCACCCTTCAAAGCATCTTTAGGTTACCAACCATCCAAGAAAATGACATTGTAGTTCCATCTCATAACGTAGGTTTTGGTGCCAAACCAAAGCAGCACTACTTCACACCGCTGACCAAAATAAGAAACTAGCAAATCAAAACACAAAACCCCTGCATCTGAATACAAACCAGGACAGAAGGTGTGGCTATCCTCACAAGACATTCCCTTGAAGGATTACCCATGTAAACTGGCTCCCAGGCTATTACCCTTTTGAAATAGAGAAAATCATCAATTCATCCTTAGTGCACATTCGGCTTCCTACCTCTATTAAGATTCACCCAACTTTTCATGTCGCTCAGGTTAAACCAGTCACCTCTAGTGCTCTTTGCTTTATTTCCACTCCCTCTCCACCCACCCAGCTCATCAGTAATCATACAGACTACAATGTTCGTCGCATTCTGGACTTGTTGTGTAGAGACCGAGGAGATCGGTTGTGGACTGGGAAGGCTTGATCATCATGGATACTCTGTGCTTTTATTTTAGACCCCAACCTCATCTCCACATTTTAGGAAGATCACTCTGGGAAGCGCTTGAGGTCATGAGGTGGCAACCATTGAAGGGAGGCACTGTCAGGATTACTGGCCCAGCTCCGTTCTTGTTATGTTTCTGTCACCAGCCTTTCTCAAAACAGCCCAGCCGAGTGGGTGTGGATTCAGAGATGTTGGCTTAAAAGTTTTCTATGCAGATGAGATTAATCTCAGTTGATAAATGTAGCTGATGTTTAAGACAGCCACAATTCTAGGTGGGATGGTTAAACTCCATATATGTAGTGACATTCCTGGTCTTCTGTTAAGAAATATTTGCATTTGCTTAACTTGTTTATTTTCTAGCTGATACTTACCTGTGCCTTGTGTGCAGAAATCACTTCTGTGATCCTGCTTTTTCATGCACATCCTTCCTCAAGCCTGTCCTTTTGCTCCTCCACTGAATGATCTGAACCTCCTCGCCCAACATGAAGTCCGCTCAGCCATTTATTCCTGTCTGCTCTCCACCACCCACCTGCACTGTCCAACGCTTGTTGCCTCTTCGCTCCATCGCCACAACTTACCTGGACACTATTTCCACTTACCTGGGAATCCTGGAATTCAAACTCCTGGACCTTTTCCCAGAATCCTGACCTGTCTCCTCTAAAACCTGCAAATGCGAGAGAGCAAAGACGAGTTTAATTCTGTCTCAGTACACCTGCAACTTGACATTCCACCCTCGCAATCATTAATCTATAAATCATCCATTTTCCAGATATGTACCCAGCCACACTGCCTGTCTACTTGAAAATAAAAGTCTTTTTTATTCTAAATATTTATTTTATGAACTTACTATCAATGTAAATTTTCTATGTAAATTGACACCCGATTTGTTCCATGGATGACATACTGGTCCATATGGGACAAATCACTTGCGTTCAGTGTCACCTGGACGTGAGTGTCATCTGGACCAGTATGTCACCTGGGATCAGTCTATCACCTGGACCTGAGTGGCCTCCGTCTTTAACACTTGACACAACTGTCATTTATATTTTACATGAAATGTTCAGATTATGACTTTCATTTTTTTGTTTTCTTCTAGATTATTTTCCGTAAAATCAGCGATGTGAAGAAGGAGGAAGAGGAGCGTGAGCGAGCGAAGAACGAGGTGCAGATCACCATCCCTCAGGACCACCCAGTCCGTAAACTCTTCCAGAAGTTCAAGCAGCAGAAGGAGCTCCGCAGCCAGGGTGCTGCAGCTGCTTCCCAGCTGGACCTGGAGAAGAACCAGCAGAAACACCAGCACCTTCACCCCCAAACTCTGCAGCTAAGCCCCCCTGGCCTGCAGCACTCCCTGCCTCTTAACCTTCACAGAACCCACGAGTCCCTGCAGAATGGAGCCCCGCCCAGTAGCCGCGTTCTGACCGTGTCGCAGGTCACGCCCCTCCAGAGTTCCCAGGTCTACAGCCAACCTGCTGAGGCTCCTGCCAAGCAGAACAACTGTGACCTGATGGAGCTGCAGCCCAGTCCTGCTGGAGGAGGACCAGATCCTGTCAGAACCAAAACCAGCACCAGTCCTGGGCTAGGAAAGCCTGCTGTCAGGCCTAGTGGATGGATGCGTCTGAAAAACAACATGGCTCCAGTGGAGAATAGGAAAGAGGGGCTAAACAACAACGTCAAGGCCATTTCTGTAGAGATGCTGTCTCAGGAGGTCAAAGGTCACACAGCAGGAGGGGTGGGGGGTGCAGGAGGGGTGGTAGGTACCAACCCTCTCCGTAAAACAGACTCGTGCGACAGCGGCATCACTAAGAGCGAGTTACGGATCGACCAGGCCGGTGAGGTGAGGACGCCCGCAGCCGTCACCCTCCTCCTTCACAGCCCCCTCCCTGGAGGGGCGGAGTCTCCTCACCCCTTCTGTTCCATGTCAGAGCAGGCCCTACAGGCAGTGCTGCTTGAGACTCGGCTGGAGCTCCAGGGGGACATTCAGACTCTGGGGGGCCGTCTGGGGGTCTTGGAGAGTCAGGTAGCTGAAATCCTCAAACTGTTGTCGGACTCGAGGCATCCGCCTATTGGGGCTCTGCCCCCCTCCAGCACACCCAAAACCAAAATCCAGCGCCAGGACATTTTCACCGTATCCAGACCTGTTTCCCCCGACACAGAGAAGGACAATGGGCCTTGAAGGGACCAGAACCAGGGGTGCACCACTTAAGTCGTCCCAGCTGTCCCGTCAGCACAAGGTTCTGTCAGATTGTACCAGATCCACCACTGGATCTGCAACACAAACTAACCAGCCTCTCTAATTTTTGCACGTGGATTTAGCAGAATACCCGAGGATCCATCCTGCTGTTAGCTCTGGACCAGGTTTGATCTCCAGACCTCCTAGGGGTCCCCCCACCCCCGTTGGTTCTGGCCCATTTGATTGTACATACCTCTCTATGCATGTCCAGCTGGATTCTGGTCTGCCAAAGAAACTTGACTCGTGTTTTTGAACACAAAGAAACACCTGATTGATCTAAAGAGAACGTTGAAATATTGTCATGAAAAAATTATCCTGAGAACTTTTAGAATTTGTCTTCAGTCTCTGTGGACGCTGAGTTACAGAACATGGTTCATCTTCTGTCTCTGTGGACGCTGAATTACAGAACAGGGTTTGTCTTCTGTCTCTGTGGACGCTGAGTTACAGAACATGGTTCATCTTCTGTCTCTGTGGACGCTGAATTACAGAACAGGGTTTGTCTTCTGTCTCTGTGGACACTAAGTAACAGAACAGGGGTTGTCTTCTGTCTCTGTGGACACTGAGTAACAGAACAGGGTTCGTCTTCTGTCTCTGTGGACACTGAGTAACAGAACAGGGTTTATCTTCTGTCTCTGTGGACACTGAGTTACAGAACAGGGTTTGTTTTCTGTCTCTGTGGACGCTGGGTAACAGAACAGGGTTTGTCTTCTGTCTCTGTGGACGCTGGGTAACAGAACAGGGTTTGTCCTCAGTCTCTGCGGACTCAGACCAGCAGACTGACTGTGCTTGGATCATTTATCAGCTGAGATGTTTGGTTGGTCATCATTTGATCTTTGACCTTTAGTCAGGGTTCCTACTCGACTCGAAAAGTCTGGAATTATTATTTATTTATTTTCCAGATTTATATAAATATGAAAAAAGAGAAGAAAGTGTAAAAAGAGTTTTGTTTGCAGACTTTGTTCTTCCTGAGATGCGTGTCTTCATGTGGACATTGGCGTCTCAGCATTGTGTTTTTTTTACTCTGTTTGAATTAGACCAGCGCTCCAAGTGAAGAGAAAGTGCCGTTACTCTGACCTGTGGAGCCTTAAACGTGTTAGGTTGCATTTTAATTGTCTGAAATAAGTTTGCAGTTCGGTTCGGTAGGCAGGGCGCTCAGTTCTGTTGAGGGGCGGAGCGCCCTGCTTGTATAATGGTAGGGAAAACGCTGATGTAAGAACCCTGCCCGTTAGCACATGATGTAGGAACTAGGGGTGCACCGATAAATCAGACCCGATTTTCTTAATTTTGGGAAATCGGAAATTGGCCGGTACTTGCATGAGAAACCGATTTTTTTTAGTTTTAACAACAATTGTCTGAACTTCATTTATATTTCAGAGCACTACCTCATGGCCAGTTAAAACAAGTTTGTATTGTTTTTAGGATATTGTTCAAGGGTATGTTTTTCAGCAAAATAAGATCAGAAAATCGAAGAAGCATTGTGACCTTATAACATCTGACAGTGTTGCTTATAAAACAAAATTGTTATTGGTCAAAATCGGAATCGGCAGGTCAGACTTTTTAGAAATGGGTGATCGGCCAGAAAATTGCAATCGGTGCACCCCTAGTAGGAACCCTTCCTCTAAACACAGATACGATGAAGGAACCCTGCCAGTAAACAGATATGATGGAAGAACATTGCCTGTAAACTCAGATATGATGAAGGAACCCTGCCAGTAAACATATATGATGGAGGAACATTGCCTGTAAACTCAGATATGATTAAGGAAC